ATGAAATATAACAAACATTTAGTAAAGTGTGTTATAAGTTTGTAGTATGTATCTACACAAAATATAACAAACATTTTGTAAAGTGTGTTATAAGTTTGTAGTATGTATCTACACAAAATATAACAAACATTTAGTGAAGTGTGTTATAAGTTTGTAGTATGTATCTACTTGAAACATAACAAACATTTAGTAAAGTGTGTTATAAGTTTGTGGTATGTATCTACTTGAAACATAACAATCATTTAGTAAAGTGTGTTATAAGTTTGTAGTATGTATCTACACAAAATATAACAAAGATTTAGTAATTTGTGTGTTATAAGTTTGTGGTATGTATCTACACAAAATATAACAAACATTTAGTAAAGTGTGTTATAAGTTTGTGATATGTATCTACACAAAATATAACAAACATTTAGTGAAGTGTACAAGTTTGTTGTATACAAAAATTCATGTGTTAATAAATATTTCTGCTCAAGATATGTCTGCAAATCACCATTTTCAGTCTCGGACTGTGACAAATTTGAGTGCAAGGTGATGTTTATCTGAATAACAAATATAATTTTGTCCATTATACAGTTTGTTTGTTTTACATAACTTCTAGGATCTTCAGAATGCATATCTACAGTTTATTTCAGTATTTCTATGTATTGTAGGGTAAAATGAGTAGTTAATAATTCTGACATCACCGTGTTGAATGACCTGCTGTTAAAGGTTGTGGATGTGTGCTTTGACTCCCATCTGGGCACACAGAGTTAATTGTTATATTGATGAGGAAGAGTAAGGTCTGGAGCTAAGTATGTTGCATTGAAAACTGAATTAACCCTAAAATTACGAACTTGTTTTTGAGTCATTCATTGTAGGTGGCACACAGCATGACATTTAGTTATATTATGTTTTCACTTCTACAACAGTCAGTGTAAAGAACTGACCAAATACATTAAGTGAAATACTTCATTATCTAAATCAAATAGATAAATGTCCTGAGAAAATAAGAAGTGGGACTAATACCGAGTGTGTTTTTGGTTATTTTTTACTTGACTTGTGTCATTAGGATCCATGTAACAAAGTCATGACTAGTTACAGTACCGAGTGTATTTTTGGTTATTTTTTTATTTAACTTGTGTCATTAGGATCCATGTAACAAAGTCATAAATATTTGCAATACTGAGTGTATTTTTGGTTATTTTTTATTTGACTTGTGTCATTAGGATCCATGTAACAAAGTCATGACTACTTACAGTACCGAGTGTATTTTTGGTTATTTTTTATTTGACTTGTGTCATTAGGATCCATGTAACAGTCATGACTAGTTACAGTACCGAGTGTATTTTTGGTTATTTTTTATTTGACTTGTGTCATTAGGATCCATGTAACAGTCATGACTAGTTACAGTACCGAGTGTATTTTTGGTTATTTTTTATACTTGACTTGAGTCATTAGGATCCATGTAACAAAGTCATGACTAGTTACAGTACCGAGTGTATTTTTGGTTATTTTTTTACTTGACTTGAGTCATTAGGATCCATGTAACAAAGTC